ACAGCTCAACAGTGGCAGTACAATCGAGACGATCATTCCATTCGTCCTCTTCACAGCCAGCTATGCCTTACCACTCATAAAAACCAGTCTTCAGCAGTCTCTATCTCACCATGTGGGCCTGGTCTGAATTTTTACCAAGTTTGGTCGCTGAATCCTCAAAATGGAGACATCATTGCTCTTAGCGGGAAGTGTCTCGGTGTGCACTATAGCAAGTTGCTAAAATTCTCAGTCGAAATAACAATGTGTACTGGTGGAGATACCCAGCACTGGATTTGGAAGAATATCACAGGTGGAATTATACAGAGTAAATGGCCATGGAAATACTGCTTGATTGTGATGAACTAGCGAGCAATTTTATTTGTCGTTGCTGCATCTTTTTCCTAACTTTTGCATAAAATATTGATCATATTTTAAGTTCTACTCATTTTTTGGTCTGCTGTTAGCTTTTCAGTGCATTCTTTTGACACGCGTTTCGAAGTTCATGAGGCAGACGTTCCGTTGAAAAGATTTTACAAAATAAAAGGAAACTTCTTTCGACTTCCCATATCAACTAAACGATGTTCAAGAATCAGTTCAATGAATATTCTGTCAAGTTCTGCTCTGGATGCTGAAAGAACAAGATAAAAGTGGTTTTGACGAAGAAGAAACAGAAGTTGGTAATAATACAGCTGACGACCTGTACAATATGAAAGCAGATGCCGAAGAGTGTTTTGATCCAAGTTTGGCTAAAATGAATCGTAAGTAGAGTTGTCTTAAACCGTTTGAAAATGTATAGCAAGGTGTTCTTACTTTACATTGAGATCCACACTATCTTATGCTTCCCAATTGATTCGATCAAATTGAACAGCTACTAATCTATATTGACCAAGGCGTGCTTCATATCTCAGATATTTAGCTCCCGACGGAAAGTATAGCCGATGTTCACTAACTAGGATGTGGATGTGGATGATTAGAGAGGAATAAGCCTCACTCACACCCATACTCCATCCCGAATTGTAACTTATTAATAAACATTTTTTATATTCTTCCTTTTTTTAATAAATAGTTGATCTGCAATAATTGAGAGATTCGACAGGAACACATTATTCGCTCAGAGTTAGATACCAGCTGAGAATTTTCATCAACAAAAAATTGATAGTAAGCCATTCTTATAAATAAAATAAATCCTTTCCTGCTCTATTTCAATCAGTATCAATATCATTCCATGATAAGTCATTATTTAAAAAAAAGTTATTCTTTTTTCTTTATTTAGATCCAGATTAATATCAATCAATAGTAATCGTAAGTTATAATTTTAAATAAACTAATTCTTTTTTTCTATCTTTTGATTTAGATCTATATTATTATTAATCAATGACAATGGTTAGTTATTATTTAAATGAATTAGTTTCTTTTTGTAATTTGTTTAGATTTACATCAATATCAATCAATAGGGATGGTACGTCATTATTTCAAACGAGACTAATTTTTCTTTTTTCTGTATTTAGATTCATGTGAAAAAGGAATTGGTAATGGTTGATGCGAGAGGATAAATCATTGCTTGCCGTTATCGATGTTCTAATGATGAACTAGTTTAACAATAATAGATTTTATTATCAGTGTGTGAATTTTCAATATTGAACTTGCTCTCAGAAAATCGATGAGCCTTTTAGAATGCTCTCGAACTTTTTATTGCACCACTAATTCCAACATCTTCGAAGAGAGCAAGTTCAATATTGAAAATTCACACNGCGAACGTTTTTAATTTTTCATTTTCTACCGCTGATTACTCAACAATTCTTATAGCTACAAAAAAAATTTTATATGAGCAGATGCAGAATTTTGTTTTCTTTCCCCTGATATAAAAATAATTATTTTATGATGAAAAATGATAGAGATATCACAGTCACAATGAAGACCTATGAAATGCTCGTTCGCTTTAGGTACATTGAGTCTACCCCCTTGTTATTCTTCATGCGATTTCTTCATTTCATTAATTTATGATTATAAACTTTAAAATAAGATTTCGACTTTATTTGTATGATATTTTATAATTATAATCATATCTATCATAAACTGCTAGCTGTCTGCAATGTTTTTTGTTCAGTGATATGTGCTTTCTCGAAGCTTTTTCCTTTGATAAGCGGTTTTTTTTAGCATATACATTTTTCAAAATTATTCTCTTCAGAATTCTTTTTTTGAGATTCGGATACAATACCATGAAATTTTATATTTGTTTATATGAATTTTATATATTGAATTTGATTAAATTATCTGTAAAATGATTAGATAGAAGTAAAAGTGATATGAATAGTTTTTATTGAGAGTAAGGATACACTGTCAATATTATCTCTCATCTTCTGACAGAATTATGTAAAAAAAAAACGATTGTGCATCTTAATAAAACTAATTAATATCTCATTTTACGAGTTGCAATGGTTTTCAAAATGAATGATAGTAGTGTGTTTTTATTTGTTCAGGAAAATATCGCATAAAACAGAATTAATATCGACAGAGAAAAAATATTTTTTGTAGGTATGGTTTACATTATCAGGTATCTTGTGTGCGTTACAATGGATTTATTTGATAATCATTGGACTAGAGTAGTCTTTTGTTTCTCATCAGAAATCTAGTTAAATAACTTGAAATAAATCATCAAAATTACGTTGATATCAAATGAATAATATTATGTAAATGATTTTATTTCTCATGCTCAATTTATGTTCATTATTTCAACCAAGAATGATCATACGATTATAATCAAAGTAAATAAAAGTTTGCCTTTCTCATTAAAATTCTAAACTAATTATTTATATAGTAGTTTGTGAACGTACATATCTTTATTTCCTATACAACAAAGATGATATTATCCAGATAGACTGATTTATTTCATTCTCTTGACAATCGCAGTTGTTATTTTTAGCTCGTGAAAGATATGAAGATTGAGCTCGGTTTAAACTCGAAATTAGAGATTTGAATCTAGATTGAACTCGAATATAATTATATACTTGAGCTCGATCGAATCCAACTTCGATGCTCGAGTTCAGCCATGTTCAATTTTACTGTACTCAAGCTCGGTCCAGTTCGATCTTGCTATGCTCGAGTTAAACTCGATCTCAATTCCATAGCTACATTTCTTTCATTAGGAAGACATTTATAAACATGATCAGGGCTTTTAACCACAGTAATAATATTGGCTTGATTTCACACTTGCTTAAAATGAAAAACACAAGCAGTTTTCGTTAAATTCTTGAGAGTTACTCTTAAAAATCTGCGTATTCAAGAAAATAATAGTTTACCTTTTAAAAAATAGCATTATTGGCCTATTTTTGGTCTTACCATTTCATTCCATATGAATTCTAATGTATGTTATGCCCTACAGATGTGACAGGAATCTAGACATAGCCTGCGGAAACAACAAAAAAAGAAATTAGCAGATGTAGAATACTTTTCCCTAATTATGACGGAAGAAAACTGTCTTATCTTGTTGGTCTCGGTGCACGATTGTTTGACATTCGATCGAAAATATTTTTATATTTGCATAATTGTTGGATTCTCCTCTTTAAAATCGTATATCAACTATCTTTCTTCTTAAACATTTCGATGAAGAGATCAGTGATCTACGATAACGAACTGTCTGCATCGTTATCAGGCCCAATTTTCCTAGTTACGACGACCAGCTAATTTTTGTCCCTAATTATGACGCTCTAAGATAATACAAACAAAAACCTACTTTTGGAGAGAAAAAAAATTTCACATCTTCTTCAAGAAATAGAGGGAAAATCTTTCGAGCATTTTTTTGAGTGTTTCTAACTCTCTTATAATCTAAAGGTTTGTGAAAAACGAATCCTCATTTATTAAGACACAGAGCTTGAGAAAAAGACATCTAAAATCGTCGAAAAAAGTTGTCTCTAATTACGACGCCTAGCTATTTTTTATCCATGATTACAAAGGTAGCTTATTTTGTTTCTGACGACGATGGCAAGCTAACTTTTAGTCCTAATATTTCTTTCTTATTGATTTTTATCGTCTTGATAGAAGGAATTAAATAATGTTTGTTTTAAAACACTGAAATTCCTTAACAGAGACGAGAGACTTTAACGGAGTTTTAGAATCCACTTAAATTTTTGTCTTCACCTCTTTAGTGTTATTTTATTTCTGATTCTGAATAAAACATTCATTCATCCTACTTTTCTCTCTTTGCTTTTGAAAAAATAATACACATTCGTTTAAACTTATGTCGTTGGTATTATGTTATACGTATTATGTGATTAAATATGGATAAATGAAGCTAAACAAAATGATAATTAATCGATTCAAGAAGCAGATTATGATTGCATATAGCGTTGGAAAAATTATAATATGATTCGGATTGAACAAGAACGGATGAGAACTGTAGGTTTGAATGAAGTGTACATCAGAAAATATATGTATCAGATATCTTTATAATTTTTTTTTCTTTCAACTTTAAACAAAGTTTCTCATCTTGCTCAAAAATCAATTTAGCATATGAATATCTTATGTGCTATGCAAATACCAAAATAATTCTGTTTTCTCTGAATCAAAATGCTGTATTTTAACGTTCATAAAGTGATAAATTTGTATGAACGCGTTAGAACTACTTAAATATATTAACTTCTTTTAGTACTATTTGTTAATGTAAATATCTTTCTGATGTGTCATTTTTCTTGAAACGTTTTCTAAACCTATAAAGTAGGATATTTTCGTTTATTACTTAACATATGAAGAAAAAAGTGTTACAATTAAGAATAAAAATACTTGCTTGTCTTACTGATGTCAATCTAATGTTCGCTTCGAGAAAAAATTTTCAGAATCACTGCGACTACTATTCTGGCAAAGTCGTCATCTCAAGTAGGGTTCTAGTCTCTAGTTATCAACGATACAAACTGTATGAAAATACATTTTTTTGGAAACTTTTCTTATTTTTTATTGATTATTATAATGAGCTCTAAAAGCGAAAAAATGATTTGCAACTAATTCAGGTAAAGAGAGTTTTGTGATTACATTTTTGTAATATCAAGCCAAGATAATTGTGAGTTCTGTGTGCGTTTAGACAAAATTTCCATTGGATATCTTGTTTTATAGACCTTCTGTTGAATTAAAGAATTCTTTCGACGTATTGATCTTGTCAGATAATCATTTATAACAAATCGTTTTTTCCATATAAATAGCACTAACGATAAAATGCTGATAATGCCAAAAGTAAAAAATAAACCACTCATAGCTTCAATGTTGATACTAGTAGACACATGAGATAAAGATAAATCTTGGCAAATACTTTTTTCAAACCATTTCTTTTTTAAATCATCAAGAACACCTGATTCTCTTAATGATAATATAATGACATCTAAATCTTTTCCGTACAACCATTGTTTATGATAAGCAATACCATATGAACTTGGGGCAAAAGTTGCGCCAACAAGTGTTAAATTACAATATATATTATTAGTAAAATATTCCACAGCACCAATATCTAAAATCGATGCATCAATTAAATTATTTAATAAACTACTATATAATTCATCTTGTGTTTTCAATGGATAATAATTACGAACACCTCCAGAAATTTCATGCAAATAATAGTCTTCTTGTGATGATTCAATAAGGATACCAATACGACTAAATGGTAACTTTCCATTTTTGATATCATCAATGCCAGAGATAAAGTCTTTTGATTTTGATATTGTTAAATCGGATGCTAAATTTGCAGTATATGTTGCTACTAATACCAGACTTAAGAGATATAAACCTATACTTAATAATCGTCCGGCAGCTGTTTGAACATGAAAATCAGCACCATATCCCATAATAGTACCAATAGAATACCACATACTCATTGCACTAGATGACATTATTGATCTATTTTGCAATGCTTCATTATCGTGCCGTTCTAATACACAAAGTAAGACAGCAGCATAAACGGTGCAAACCAAGAGTGTCAACCATAGATTAAGTGAAAATGGTTTTAAATAGGATAAAAGATCAACATTAACAGTTGCTGTTTGTCTAACAATAATTCGAATAGCATTGTCAAATATTGAAGTTGAAAAATCAACTATTTCTCTTCGCCTAGCAGTAACAGTAATATCACCAATTGCAACATCACAAACACTATTTGCTACTGCTTCAACTAATCCATCATAAGTCTGATTTGCTGGTGGATATATAAAATGAGGAATAAATCCCATCCTAATTTGTAGAATATCAATAAGATCAGGTAGATAACCAATTAACTTTGTTTGATTTTGTTCAATGATATTTTTTTGCATTGTGAATGGTATTGATTCAATAATACAAATTCGTAAGTTTATACCCTCAAGTCCAGCAAAGCCAGTAGGAGGTACTAATGTATTACCAGGCCATATGATAACATCAGCTTGTGTATATGTTTTCCAATCATCAGAATAAGACCATTGCAATACTGGCACCAATTCTATACCATTCGTAGAAGGTTGAACATTTTGTATGACATAATAAATTCCATCTATTCTATCTGTTAGATTGGCACTAAATTTTACTGGACCAGATACGCCAAGAAACTCTGTGATACTAATCGTATGAAAAAATGAAGTGGCATTTGAAAAACGACGATCGAAACAGAATGAATTGTTAACAATTGATATACATGGAGAAGAACTATTTGTACGTGTTAAACAAAGTTGTTGTAATGCTTGTATCAATGTCCAAGTTGCATCAAATGCAAATAATGCATAATAATTTACTTTTGTTGATCCAGGAAATGTTTCAGGCTCATATTGCTGCCAAATCTGATAAGCTGCATTTAATAATGTTGTATTGAATGGTGCATTAACAACACTTCCTATTACTGGTTCTAAAATAAGCATTCCAATTAATTTTGTCTGTAATGTTTGATTGAAAGAATTCAACGAAACTCTTATACTTAATATCCATGTAAAACGTGGACCAAGTACATCAAAATTAAGTGCATTTTGTAAAATTAAAGATGTATGATATTCATCAGCCCATACTATGATAATTCGTGTAAAAGTCGTTAATAAAATATCTTTTAAATCACCTCGAATATGCTGTGTCGCAATATCAAACACTACTAATTCACTAACTCTCAAATTGTTCTTACTAAATGCATTACTTATTACTTCTGCACCACCTGATCCAAATTCATCATTTTGATAAATAATTATGCAAGATGTCCAATTATATCGAGCAAATAATTTTACAATTGCTAATGCAACAGCAGCATCCGATGAAACTGTGCGATAAAAGTTAGGATATGCATTTCGATCCGATAAAACAGGATTAGTTGCAGAATATGATATTGCAGGAATATTACCTAAATGAGCAAAAGCAGCAATAATACTAGCTTCTCTGGAATATGCCGGTCCAACAATACCAATAACGTTTGCAGTGGCTACTGCTTGACATGTACCACTCAGAGCACCTATAGCATTCCCACCAGTTTGTGCTGCGTGCCATCCAATGAATTGTCCATCAATTTTCATATTATATTGTTGTGACAGGACTAATGCAGCCTTAAACATAGCACACGGGTGAACTGAAAATTCGGTCGGTTCAGATATGTTTTCAGCATCTGGAAAAAGACCTAATAGCTGAACGTTCGACATGTTTGGAAGTGGCCAAGCTGCTTTTGCATAGTGTATATTAAGTTGTCCAAATATAAAAGGTAATATCCACCAACAAAAACACCACGTGTACACCATCAACGTTTGGTTACAATCTATCTATCTATATATATATATACATATACTGTATATATAATAGCAGAAGGAAACATGAAAAATAATATCCATAATAGAAAACCTTCTAGACAAAAGTTCGAAAACCGTATTACAAGATACTGGTATTCTAATTGATCAAAAATATTTTTCTAGCATTGCTCACATACTTTTAACGAAATGTCTTATGTCAAGTCTTTCCACATACGTTTCATGAGACAGTTATTTATTTTATTCAAGATGAAAATCAAAATAAGGAATCACAATGACACAAGACATTAGCGTACTCATCTTATGCCACCTCAGACGAAATAATTTATATTAACCAATATGTCGAAGAATACACAAAATAGTTAATTTCAATCTGATATTTCTTTTGTCATTGAGAAATGAAAATGAACTAATATAAATGATAAAAATTAGAATTCTTACTTTGTTTTCTGTCAATTTGCAGTACATGGCAGTTTATAAGATCTGTCTGAAAATTTTATACATAAAAAACTGCAAGTGCTCAGAGGAATTACATTAAAAGTTTTTACGAAATCATACATTATTATATTTTAGAGCTTCAAAATGAATTCACACGACAGACACCCTTTATCATAATTGCGAAATGAAAAATATGCTTTAGCTCATTGAAAGATGAATTATTTTATACTTAATCTTTAATTTAGAACTCTAATGTCAATCTTGAATTGAGATTTCTATTGCAATTGCTGAGATTCTACATATCTAATGTACTAGTAGATGAGAGTAAAATGACAACAAACTGTTTCTGTATTGATGAGGATGAAAGTAACGATGAGCTCTGTATTGCATTGGTTTTTGATTTATAAGACTTCTATCCTGTTCACATTATACACCGATGAAAAATTACAATCAGAACATGTTACAAAACACAAACAGAAACCGTTAAAAATAGATGATTAAAAAAAAGAGACGAAAAGTAAGCACTTTCCTTTTTCCGACTTCTGTGCACTCGATTGGCTTGTCTTCTTTTAATAGCAATCACCACTTATACGAAATAGAAACTTTACACGGACTATTCTAATAACGACACTTGTTTTTCTGTTTTTTCTTCTTCATTTTTGTTACTTTACAGGATTTTTCATCAATCTTGAAGCGGAACAAAATTAATTTAAATGCAAACAAAATAGTTCATCACCAAAAGTATTCAAAAGACCTTGAAATGCTCGTATTAGTCTTTTCTTGTAATTATAAAAATATAAACATGATAATCTGACGATTAATTTTTTGGGATCGATCAACAAGATATCATATTTAAAAAAGAAAAACACTCTATTTTATGAATACCTATGTTAATTCAATTATACAAAAAAAAACCATTTAAGGGTGTAGGTGAGTGCGTGCTCTTTAAAAGAATAAGATGTCGTACTAAAAGTTTTAGTGTTCCTGATTAGGGTGCCGTTTTCTACACCTTTTAAGGGTCTAACAAAGTATAGTTCTACTCTCGTCAAAAGCAGTCCATCTAACACACATAACCTCGTACTACTAATCAGTTCTATTTCCGACCCACTGTTTCTAACTTTAGTCCCTTATTTCTATCCTTAACCACTTAATTATATATCTAATCTCTTAACTCTTATTCCTATATCCTATGGCTTATTTCCATGTGGAACCCCTAAACTCTAAATGTCCTCTTGTTTCTATGCAAAATCCCTTATTCATATATTCTGCCACTTATTTCTGTTCTCAAACTTTTATTCTTGTAGTGAATCCAGAAATTCTATATGCGAGTTCTAAGCTCTTGCCTTAACCCATTATTTCTATATCAAACTCCTTACTCCTATATTTAACCTTTTTATTCAATATTCAACTTCTTCATCCTATCTGTAACCGCTTATTACTGTGTGTTACCCGTTATTTATATCCTTAAGCCGTTTTCTCTTTATCTAATCTTTTATCGTTATGTGAAACCTTAGATATTTTTGTACATGCTTACTTCTGTGTCTTATGTTCTAAATCTATACCTAATTTTAGACATGTATACCTTGTTTCTTCTGATATGACTAGTATGTTATGTATATGTTTATCAGACTGCTTGCATGTATATACTCATCAAAGATGGGCACAGGACAGGACAAAACTTTAATTTATGCCCAGGTGCCTTACTTCGTCCTGGCAGGCGGGAGGACAAGACATAAATTAGAGTTCTGTTCCGTTCCACAGGACAGTAAGAAACCTTATCTTGACTTTGGATGACTAAAGTGCATGTTAGTTTTTAACTATCTTATAGCTAATTTTGTCTCATGTCATTTTCGAAAACAATCACAACATTTTTCAACAATGGCTAATATTATAAATAAAAGAAAATATAGAAATACCTTCATTTATTATTTTAGTGACACGTTCATCATAGAAAATAAATATATGCAAATATAAACTTGTGAGGTTCTATCATCATTGTTTTAACAAATAGTCATAATAATTAATACAAAAAAAAACTAGAATAATGAAAAAGTAGTTGATGAAAACCAAATATAAAGAAAAAAAATTCCACAAAATAAAAGAACTTAGGGTATCCCTAGGCATGCACCGAACCCGAACGTTCGGGTTCGATGGGTTTGGGTTCGAGTTCGGTCTGATAGGTCGAGTTCGGGTTTAGTTTTCCTTGCAGTCATTTTTAGTCAGCTTGTAAAAAGAATCGGATGTCATGCAAAAGCAAAAGAGTTGCGAGCTTTATACCAACCAATCTCAAATAGTAGAGTAATTGATCGGAAGTTTGAAGATCTGCAAAAATCCTAAAAGTGAACTATCTCCAGGAATACTGTATTCTGAGCCGAGATTTAGGTAAAGTTAAGATTGATTTCATGATCCCTCATGCATCCAAAGAACTGCTTCAGCAATTATCCACATTATAGGATAAAAGGAAATTGAACTTTCAAAATCGATGATTTGGCTTATGTTTTTACGGTAGTTTGTCATAGTCTTAGAGCTAGGGATGGGAGGTTATTGTTCCCGGGTGACGATCTGAGAACAGTAAAGTGAGTGTCTAGCATCATCAAGCCAGTAGCTTAGGGTCCTCTAGTTCTACTATTGGGGAGTACCCTTGGGTCCTCAAGTCCTACTATTAGGGGGTACTCTTGGGTTCTCAAATCGCACGAGATGGAGATGCCTTCTGGTCCTCAAGTGCTGCTATAGCGGCGTACCCTTGAGCACTGATGTGACACTCTAAGATGTATCCTTGGATTCTGAAAGACCACTATGCGGAAGCATGCTTGGGTAACGAAGTGCTTCGGCAAGAGTCGTCTTTTAGGTGCGTGGACCTGTAGTTATCGGCGCATTGTGTACGATATTATTGGAAGTGTTGGTACGTTGTTGATGACGGAATATTTGTTCGTAGGGACCATCGGTGTCGACGGTCTTCTGGTTGTTACGTGATTACTGAGCCGAATGTATTAGTGCGATCTCCGAAAGTGACGGGACAGGTGGAAACGCGAAGCACGATAGTAAGGAAAGATGCGGTAGATGTTGGTGGTTATTAAGAGTAGTTGATGGGATTACAGGCACGCCCTAAAGGGCTATCATTTTAAAATCCGGAAGTGCTTATGAGTCATCAATACTTCGTTCACAGTTTGGGTGAAGTTTTATGGTATAAAGGAGCTGGGATTCTGTAATGTGCTGCCAGATGAAATACCGGTTCTTTTTCGAAGGGTTTCGGAGTACCGTTGTTTATGTCCCAAATGGTAATTACACTGTCAAAATAGTTTTTGGTTGGAATTTATTTGTGCAGATATCTCTGAGGACCAAGCCTGGACATGTAACTGAAGCTAAAACCCGAGGAAATAATTTAGAAGTCATCAATAGTCCTAGTTCCGAACTGATTTACGAATATTACTTTATTTTGAACTCAAACAATGTTTTTTCTACTAAAACTGATCTTTATAATTCAAAAGCAAAGTAAAATTGGCTGACAAGTACGGCAGTTGAGATAAAAGCGATTCATCGGGCATCAAGTTTTAAGTTACCAATGGTATGATATGATCAGAAAAATCATATCGAACTACATGTTTGAATAAAAAATCTTGCTAGAACACGCGTACAAACTGTAACTATTGTCCACTGTAAAAAATCATTATACGTAAAAGTTTCACCCAAGTAGAACACTTTTCGAATGCATCTACAGAGAAGGCTTTGAATGTCCAGGACCTTCCTACAGATCTACAGAAAAAACACTCTGTATGAAATAAAACGTTTTTCAACGAATCCAAATCGGATTTCAGATAGTGTTCAGGTCAAAATCTGTTTTTTGAGGCCTCCGAAGACTGCTTCGCGCCTTTCCTACGGTCTTACCCACTGCAAATAAAAACATCATCTTTGAAAGCAGCACCTTCAGCTCTATTAAACTCTAAAGTTCTCCAACAAAAAGGTGATGGAAATTCTTCATCCAATCTCGAGATTGACATGGAGTATGAAAGGTCCTGTTGAGCTATTATAGAAAATAAACTAATGAAGAATAATCAAATGGGTCATTGGTGATCCTGAGACACAAAGTGAAGATTCGCTATCATGAAACACTTGGTCCACGATATAACACATCTTTTACACGGCACATTCCGAATGTTACATGCTGTTTTCTCTTTTTTTAATAATTCTGCATCACGAATATGCTTAAAGCGTTCTGAAACTATATCCATCAAAAACTGATGGTATAATACTAATGTCTGTCCAAAACTTAGATGGCCGTGGGTATTTTGGAACAACTCAAGAACGAATAGAGCTAGAGAGCTGCGGTTTTCATCATTATGTAGATATATGAGTACTCTATATGTTTGCTAAGACATACTGAGAATCCTTGCACATTCAGGGTTTCATCAGTGTCAATCTTTCAAAGAATACCTTACAGTTTTCTAAAGTTCTACAGAGATCTATATATCTAAATTATGCAAAAGATAGCTCAAAGACTCCTCTACAAAATAACATAAGACCTACCTCTCTAGCTTTTGTCGTTCTCAAATAACATT